TAAATCATGAGTATACTCAGGATGTCCTACATTTTCCAAACAGATTTGATAATGCACTGTAGTGATAATGATAACATTAAGATAACGGGCAATATTCTTCACTGCTGGTAGAAACATACTACTATAATCAAAATAAGGGACAAGTTGAAAACTCTACTAATATTACAGATACATATAGCTTTTACTGCCAGTATGCTAACATTGATGCAAAATAGTATGCAGAAAGGTAAATTTATAATTTTGTTTAAAAATTATTAAATTCAATATTCTGTAGTTTTTAATTTTGCCTATGATAATAATTGCTTCTAAAACCAACAACAAAAATTATAATAGCTGTGAGACTTAGTTTGGAAAAAAATGTAGGAACAGGAGCCGAGAGGTGGCTCAGCACTAAATGCATGTGTTCTTGCAGAGGACATGAGCTTGACTACCTATGGTCCATCTGTAGGGTATTTGATGATCTCCTCTGGCCACTAGGGCACTAAACAACTCTCTCTCTCTCTCTCTCTCTCTCTCTCTCTCTCTCTCTCTCTCTGACACACACACACACACACATACCAAACAAGAGACAAATCTTAAGAAAAAGCAACTAAAGTGTCACACACAAACTCATACACACACACACACACACACACACAGTATTATGATTCGGTATATCTTTATTAGTTCGTTTAAAATATAATGTAATCTAATACATTTTCATTAATATATGTAATACAAATATAATTTATATGAAGCTATTTCAGAAAAACCCAGTTAATTTCACCAAATGAAGAAACTATCATCCTTTATTTATAATATTATCATTCAAATATGCTAATAAAACCAAAATACCTATTATCCTCTATATCTCTGAATTTTCAGCAAGATTGGTTTTGTACCACAAACGACTATCAGACCTTTGCACCCATGCATCAAAGCATAATTTAGCCCATTAATCCTAGGTGGCACCAAAGTACAGACTATGTTGTGATTAATGCATATCTAGATGTTTTATTGGTATTCACAGCTTCTTCCAATGCAAAGCTTTGATGTATACCAGGAATTTATTATTCAAACCTAAACCACTAGCAACTTTCCTCTTATTCATCTTCTGGTTATACCCAGGATGTCAGAAGAAATGATAATGTGCTTAAATTTCTTTCTGCAGTTAACCAGAAGTTCCAAAAATCCTAAACAGCAGGCAGCCCAATTCCAGAACGTCCTCTTGATATTGATTTTGCTTTTCCTGATTCTTTTGCAGTACAAAGTCTGCACTAAAGCAAACAACCAACAAACAATCATCTCAAGATCAAGAGCTGAAATCAATGCCAATGTCCCTGGACCTTCTTTTGAATTGGGTTCTTTGAGCACTGAATGTTGTTTTCAACACACTGACACATTATAATTTGTATGTCTTGAGATCTTCAGTTCATTTTAGCTCCTTTGAACCTCTTTGGTTTTATAAATAGGGTCCCTATTATGGTCTGCATCTGGCTTCCCTCAAAGAGACTTTTCCAAAAGCCCTGGAGTAGAGCGGCCTATTTTTGTGTTCTCTTGAGGAGTCTTGTTCCCTAGTTCTCTCTCTCTGTAGTTTGTTCCGGGCTGTTGGCTGCCTGATGTTTTGATGCCTCTGTCCATTAACTAACTCTTGCCTTTCAACAACTCAGCTTCAGTGTCTTGTTTACTGCCTCCCTCCTTTCAGCTCTGGCTTACTGCTTCAATCTGTGTGCCAATAGAATGCCAGGCAACTTCCTGTGTCAGCTTCTGTCCCTGCTGCAGATTGCTCTCACCAACGTGACTTTCCAAAGACAACATGTCAGTCGCTCCTACTGGGAATTTTATCTTTAGTTTCCTAGTCTGTGCTCATGTCCATGACTATTAAGAGGCAGAAAAACTGACATGTACAGATAAGTGACTACCTTCACTTTATATGTCACGGTAGGTGACATATAAAGGATCAACAAAGAGGTTCTGCCCCTAAGACTGATGGCTCACAGGGTAGGCTCATTTTCCGGTTTTATAACACGTGAACTTTTTTAGGGACTCCCAAGCCAAATGAATATATACTTGTCTGTTTATCTGTAGACTTCCTCCATGTGCATATTGTGATTCATTTTATCTTTTTGTGTCCTCATAAGATCAAAAGATATCTGCATAGCAGTGATATTTAAACCTTACTGACTAAAACAAGGTTACCGCAGCAATAGAACCCAACATATGACTTGTGAATTTAAAAAAAATATATTTATATAAGGAGAGCAACTGAAACACATATACTCTTAAGTTATCAATTAGGGGACTATGGAACAGAAAACCCTATAAACAAGGGTTTGAACCCAACACAATTTTATAAGGAAAAGCATTTACTGTTTTTAGCCTAGAAGTTCACGAGCGTCAGACTTCAAGTCTGAACAAACCCTGCTCTTTCCTACCTTCAAGGCCACAGGATAGCTGCTCTAGTTTGTCATCACCTGTACTCTCCAGGAATGAAGGAGGAATAAGAGGGCAGGATAATGATGAGGTAAAATGTTATACAAACAAACTAGGGTTTTCTTAGGAATCTCTCACATTTCTCAGATTATGTCTCACCGGACAAAAATGATAGAATGTCTCTCACAACAATAAAGAGGATGAGAAAATGAGTCTGTGGGTTTGTTCGTTGCATACAGTACTACAAGCTAACTGTAACTGGAAGAGTTGATATGAATGAACTAGAGTACATGAAGGAAACTGGTGGCTGCCTAGGCCTCCGGCTGTAGCAGTTAGTGTGAGCAGGCCTTTCATCTATCAGCTTCAGACCTGATTGAAGGTGTGGGTTTCTTGAAGATCCTAACATAACACCTGTCTAATTTTTATTAATTTTTTTCTTGGACTTAAAAATACTGTTTTTCCTAAACACTTTCTATATTGTCCCTGGCACTGAGATCCAATTGGTAACATAACAACCCTTGCCTTTCAAGTTACACTTTGTGTCCTATTCAAGAGTTACTATTGCTGTGATAAAACACTGTGACCAAAAGCAAGTTGGAGAAGAAAGGGTTGACTTGGCTGACTGCTGTATCACTGCTCAGCATGAACGGAAATCAGGGAAGGAGCAGGGCAAGACCTTGAGGAAGGAGTTGCTTCAAAAGCCATGGAAGAGTGCCTGCTTACTGGCTTGTTCCTTATGGCTTGCTCACCCTGCTTTCTTATAGAACCCGGGACCACCTGCCCAGGGTGTCCCCATCCACAATGGGCCAGACCCGACCATATCAATCAATAAATAAGAAAACACACCACTACAAGTTTGTCTACATCCCAGGCTTATAAAGATATTTTTTTTCAACTGAGGTTCCCTTCTGTCTAGTGACTGTGACTTGTGTCAAGTTGACATAAAACTAGTCAGCACACTCTGTAAACTAAAATTACAAAGTAAAAGTTCTTAAGTGGCCACTGAAGAGGTACTTCCTAAGCCTGGGCATGTTTGGAGAAGAACATCATAGAAGATGAAGGTGAAGATGAAAAGGACTCACCAAAAGAAGCTATAAAAAAATGGTATTTATATATGAAGGCATAGAGAAGGTGAGAGGAGAATCATTCTGGTATCTGTAAAGGTTTCAGTGAAAGACAACACTAAGCTTAAGAGTGAAGGCAATGGTAATGAGATAAGCAAGGAGCAAAATAATCAAGAACAAAGGCAAAAGACACTGACTCATTTTAAATGGTTATTAATTACATACTCTAGGGAAATTAGCCTAGTTCCAGTGGGTACAATTTATTGAGAACGGGTAAATCTAGAGACAGGGAATTCAATGAAGAAACTCTATTATACTTGTCTAACATAAAGGTATAAACTAAAACAGTACCAGAGGATTTGGAAATGCAAAGACTCATCTTAAAGATATTAAACAAGTTCAAAATTAAAAAGCTTATTAACCAAGTGCTCTTGAGCAGGAAACAAAGGGAGCCTGCACACAGCTGTGGGGCAGAAATGAGGATAAACATTTATCATAGCTCCTAGTGTTTTCATTCACTCCTTTATTCAACATAGTGCATATTGGGTAATGTAACACCTTGCCCCAATGAGGCACAACATGCATAGCTACTTGTACGATGGCTTTTGCTCTTCATTTATTCAGGTCCTGAAACACCTCAAACACAAAACAATCATCCTACCAAAGAGAAGCCAATGACCTGCGTACACTACTCTTTAATGATTATCTGATGTACACTTATATGGATCTACACCTTGCCTATTGTGAAGAATGTCACACTAAACTTGCAGGAATCGTTTTGCTGCCAAATTTTAGTCCTTTAGATATATGACCCCAAATGAGATAGGAATCACAGTGGTATGGACAATGATTTAAAAAAAAAATTGGAACACCTAAGCACAATAAACAAAAGCAAACAGAAAAAAAATGCAATTATAACGAGCTACAAGGACTATCCACAGTGCAGAAAACAATCAGCAATGTGCTTTTGAACTGTCATTGAATAGCCACTTCCCAGAGCAAATCTAAAGGAAAAAAAAGAAAGACAGACAGCACTAGATTCTGGTAAACAAAGAACAGGCTTGTTCACACCCAGTCTCCATGATGAGTTACTTGGTAACCTTCAGAACTATTATTAATGAAATAAGAAAGTCATCATACTGACTACTCTAACAATAAAAGAGTAAAATATGCTGATAAAAAAAATCAGGAAATACCCCTTAAGAAATATGATAGGAGCTTCATGGTTGTATGGCCATTGCCTTTTAGGAGGAGCTGAGTAGGATCCGACCTTCCCCACCCACGAGTTCTCTAATAATATCTGCTTCAGAGAAGTGTTGTGGAAAGAAATGCTCACCCCACCTAAATCTGACATAGAGTGAGGCTGAATTATAAAGTGTGGGCTAAAAATGTCCAGGGAGAAGTGTTCTGTGTTTTTCCCTGAAGGATGAGATAAAGCCTGAGAGTAACTGGTCTGCCAAAACTTCGTGACTAGGATTCAAACACAGTTATTCAACAAAGCAGGGATTAATGCAACTACTGTACGTGGCTGATGGCTCAAAACTAAGAGACAGCAATCTGCAAAAGAAGACAAAACAGTGACAACTTTATAAAGTATCCCCACAATCATCACAGTGAGGACACAAAACCTTTACAAAATTATTTAAATAATCAATAGCACTTAGTCTAGAAAAGAGGAAATAGGAGGAAGTAATTACCACTCTCAAATTTACAGACATGTATTTTTGGAATATTATGTATAATTTAACCTCACACGGATGATTTAATTACTTTTTGTTTGTTTGTTTTCAAGACAGGATGTCTCTGTGTAATAGTCCCAGTTGTCCTGGAACCAGCTCTTGTAGATCAGAGTGGCCTTGAACTCACAGAGATCCACCTGCCTCTACTTCCCTGAGTTCTGGGATTAAAGGCAGCGCCACCACTGCTCTGCTGATTTAATTATTTTAAAAGATAAAAGGGGGGGGAACTAGCAGTTATAAATAAGTACTCTGCTGGTGTTACTGCAAGTATTTCGGAACACATTCTTACTAGGTGGCAGGAAAAAAACTAAGAACCCTGGACATGGCACAGAAATGAAGAATATTTATATTTCAAGTTCAGTAGTTGTAGGGGAATAGCAAGCTTCTAATAAAATCTCAAGATTTGTGTGTTTTTTCACATGATGGACTACAGCTTTTTTTAAGAAAAACAAATATCATTGAGTTCTCTTGTTTAATTATTAAAGTGTTCATGAATTTACTAAGAAAGATTAATTCACAGCAGTTTCCAATAACAAGGTTATTACCACCAAAAACCATAGATACCTCTGCAGTAATTAATATCTGCATGAATAATTGTATAATTGCACAATTATTAAATGACATATTAATATGAGATAATGAATTTTAGTAATCATATATTGTCATATTCTGCTTTCAAACTGATACTAATATGAGCAGGAATAAGAACCAGAAAACTCCACGGCCTGTTTGTTGAAAGTTACCCACCATATATATGCTGATCAACCCAGCATAAAAAGAAGTCCCATCACTATCTAATAGTAAAAGGAGAACTAAAAAACCATCGTATATGGAGGCAGAACACTGTATTGTATACATAATAAATTTAAAAAAATCTTTTAAAAACATGATTTCACATAAACATATGATTATACAGTCACACCAGGGGGCGCTCTTAACACTAAAATGATGGATGACATATTCTAAAACTCTTGGTGGTCTTAGCTGGCCAAAAGAAAAATATAGTTTTCTAAGTATGTACTACTTACAACAAATGCTGATCTCTTGTATGTGTTCGCTGACAACACACACATCTTCGGCCTTCTACTGTTTGCAAGCTTAACCCTATGAAGTTAGTTTACAAAAAGGAAAACATTTTTTTCCTGAAACGTTACATTTTGGAAACATTTTGTCAATTTAACTCACATCTGCTTCTTACTCTTCCTGTAGCTGGACTGATTCCCATTAACATGAAGAGCATTAATGAGCACACACACTTAAAATACGACACCAGTGAGTTTTATTGTTTATCAAAATCCCTATCAGAGGGGTTAATTCCTTCCAACCCCTACCCCATAAAAAAGGGAAGTTTGATTTGGTGTGTGTGACTGTGAATAACTGAGATGTGTGTTTGTGTGTGTGTGTGTGCGTGCATGCATACAGGTGCATGCACATTACTGCTAAGAAAACACTGTACAACTGTGCTTTACCCTCAACCAATTTTTTACTTTTTATTCAAAGGAAAGCTGTGTGCAAGCAGCTCCAGCAGACTTGAATTCACACTGTAGCAAGGCTGCCACAAAATCTATACAGTAGTACAGGCAGTCTCTGAATTTGTGATCTTCCTACCAAATACTTGCCACGTAGGGGTTACAACCACTGCCAGACATGGCAGAAGCATGATTTTAAAGTTATTCCAAGTGGAAGCGTGTAATGGAGTTCTAATCTTGGACATTCTAACCCACTCCCCTCATTTGCCCATTACCTGCAGAGACTCTTAACTGCAGATGCTCTCCTCCAAAGATGTGACTCAGTTTCCTATAAGCAGAGCAGAAGAATCAAAGTGAGTTTTCAGAGAAACAGAAAATGAGGAAAGGTGAGTAGGATCTGATACCCCAAACCATCACATACTATTCCATCAGAAGCAAATGTTTGCACACAGGGCACCTAATTAAAATATATTTTATGAAAGGTCTCAAACTTCAAATGAAAATAAAGTATGGGAAAAGATGAAGTCATACCTGTCTATCTATAGTTCAATGAAAAGGGTTTTTAAGCTCTGCTCAGCCCTAGCTGAGTACACTATTTTATGTACAAGCAACCTCCAGGAGTGACATCTGTTGTATAAGGCCACTTGTTGGTTTCTCAGATGCCCAGACTTCTGAAATAATCACACAGAATCTATATTATTTAAATCACTGCTTGGCCGAGTAGCTCTACCTTCTTACTTGGTAACTTTTACGTCTTAATTTAACCCATTTCTAGCAATCTGTGTATCGTCATGTGGCTATGGTATACTGGGTAAAGTTCCAGCATCCATCTCTGGTGAGGCTACATGGCTTCTCCCTGACTCCGCCTTCTTTTCTCCCAGCATTCAGTTTAGTTTTCCCCACCTACCTATATTCTGCCCTGTGAAGGCTTAAGACAGTTTCTTTATTAACCAATGGTATTCACAGCATACAGAGGGAAATCCCACATCAGACATCCATTTGCAGTCAGGTAGGCATGAAGAATTCTGGCTAAGGTCCACTTGCTATAGCAATGTGAATTTAGGAAACAGGGAGAGTCTTTCTTACTGTTTGTCCCTAAAACCAATTCATTGGTAAACTGACACCTCAAAGTAAAATTACATGAAGAAAATGCATACATCTATTTAGTATTTTAGACTTAAGTATAAATGGATTATAGGAAGTCTTATCCCACAAGGCAGACATTAACATGGTTTTGGAGCAGGCACAGAGACAAACAGAGTAAAAAGAACAGAGGACAAATGGGAGCCACGGAGATGAAGGCTCTAGGAAAGGTATGTCGGCTGAGGAATTGGGGACTGCCATTATCTACTTCATGTCCTTCTTGACTTTGGAATAAAGAAGTCTTGAGAGATTCAACAAAATACATGCAGCCTTGATTGAAAAAAGCAACACCTAGAATATAACCTAGAATATAATCTGACAGAGAAAAGCTGCGAGTTTCCTTGAAAAGTAAAAGCAAAGCAGGGATCCTGGGGTTCCAATCATAGAAGCAGGTCTGGATGGACTTAGCTGAAGGAAAAAAAAGAAAGTGGTCAGTCCCATTTGGACTGGAACGGAGAGTCAAGGGTTAACTAGTACCTGGAGATTACATTTCAGCTGATGACAGAGACACAAGCCAAGATGTAACAAATATGAAGACATTTGAATAAATTATACTTCTACAGGCACAAAGTGCTAAAATCCCAAAGAGAAGGGAGTGACTACATTCATTCACTCACTCACACACTAACTCATTTAATAAAATTAAAGAAATAGCTAGATATGTACCAGGCACAGACTTAAAAGCTTAAAAGAACAAAACATAGAACCTTGCCTTTGTGAAATTCACATTCTTGCAGGGAATAAGGATCCGAAACAAGAGCTTACACAGTATCTGATGCAATGGTTAAGGGCCGTGAAGGAGGAGAGCCAAGCACTGTGAGGGTAATTTGAAATAAATAACAGGAAAAGCAGACTAAGGACACTTTTATATCTCCTTTACCACACAGAGAAAGAGGCCTCAAGTAACAGGAAATGGCCAAGTAAGGACCCTAAAACTGAAAGTGTACCTCACCTACTGAAAGAATAGCAAGTAAGCCCAGTGTTTGGAATGTAATACAAAATTTTCAAGAAGAAAAAAATAATAGAATTTATAGTTTTTGAAGAATAAAATAGGAAGAATTTTGATAAAGAAGAAATAGTTTGGAAATAGGTGGGGCAGGACTTCCTGCTAAGTTAAATCTGATGTGTAAGAGAATTAGAATATGGGATGACATACACCTTTGATTTGAGCAACTGAAAGAACAGTTGACAATCAGTGGTCCTGAAAAATCAGGCGATTGGAGAACTGATTTGTGAACTATGAACTGTCTAGTAGCCCTAATTTTAAAGCCATGAGATATGGGAGTGAGTGGCAAGAAAGAAGGGTGAGGCAGAGGACTATCCCTAGACTGTGAAGGCTCCTGGGAGTCCCCTAGTCTTCAACTTCTGCTATTCACAACCCTCAAGATTCCCATCTCCTGGAGTAGGGGGAAACCGTCAAACTTGTTTAACCCATAAAATGAGAGAAGTGACAAAATTCCTCCAAATTACAAACTCTAATTACATTACTTCATTAATACTGTAGCTTCAGTCTTACCTGGGTTTTTCTCTCTAGCCAAACTCTGCAAAGCAAATACACATCAAGGAACCTGCATGGACAAGAACTGAGGGCAGCCTCTAGCTGACACTTGGCAAAACCACCAAACTCCACTCAACCAACAAGCCCTTCCTTCTCATAGCCTGAAGGAAATAAATTCTCCCAATAATCTGAGCAAGTGTGGAAATAAATCTGTTATTCAGATAACATCCCAGTTGCAGATGACAGCCTGAGAGCAGTCATAAAAAGAGGATTCAGCTGAGTTATGACTAGACTTCTGCTCCATAGAAACAGATTATAAAATGGGTGTTATTTTAAAATACCAAGTTGATGGTAATTTGTTATGCACCAGTAGAAAGCAACAGAAACCCTGGGCGGCTGCAAAATTTAGAGGCCAGCGAGATATGTAAGGCAAAGAAAATGACGAGGAAAGAAAGGCCAATGAAGTCAGAGAGAAATAGAGAATTTGTTTTAAGGAACAGATCGCTTGCTCTTGCAAGAGGCAGATACAAAAAAGAAAAGGATAAGATGGGCCTGTGGGCCTGCTAGAAGCTGCTAAGTAATAAGCAAGTAAAGATTCGGTGAAAAACCAGGTCCAGTCGCTTACTTCCTTCCCACCTTCTAACACAAAAGGCAGGAGGAATTGATGCCATGTGGGAACTGATAGAAGCCAGAAGTATTTGCATTCTTTCTGCTATAGGCGCCTGTGCACTAATAAGCCTAGTTCTTCCACTGAACGCTTTAGCGGCTGATTTTTTTCCTCGATGATTTATGCAAAAGTTTTGGGAAGTTGTGAGGCTTTGTGATCTAGTCAGCTCTTAACTGCTAACGTAAATGACATCCAGTCTTATTAAAAGCCTTGGAAGACCCAATTAGTGCCAAAGATGTGCTACTTCACTGTTTATAAGGCTTTGAAGGTTGGTATTTCAAAACTGACTAACAACACAGATCACAGTTGGCTCATTTTAATTACTAAGTAGCTAGCATAACCTATTTTTAAACTTTTCATTGTTGTACTACATGCTTAGACTGCCTTTTAATTTATTTTTCAAAAAAAATCAATAGAAGTCAATCTAATAAATGTGTATTATATTCAAGGTCCTGAGCTAACTAAGTCTTTCTTGTTCAGAAAAAAAGGGCTCTCTGCTGCTTTTGTACCATCCAGACTCTGTGTACAAACTTAAACTATTTATAAAGGGCTGTCACACAAACAAAGACTGCTGGGCCCTAAAGTGATTAGTATTCAGCCTTTATCTAGATTTATCTGTGTTGAACAACCCATTTTCCTATAATGCTTTGAAAGCAATTTCTCCGCCACCCATTCAATGAAGATTTAGTGAGGACTTCCTCAGTTACATAAAGGCACAAGTTGGATAAAAAGCAGAGTATTTAAGGTTGCTGTTTTAAAGGTACATCTCAAATGCAATCTCCTTTTACCTCTTCAATATCTCTATAATTATGAGGAGTATTCATATATTTAAGATGCATACATTTTTTGGATTTTCGAGCCAAGGTTTCTCTGTGTTACAGTCCAGTCCTGGAACTAGCTCTTGTAGACCAAGCTGGCCTCAAACTCACAGAGATCCACTTGCCTTGGCCTCCCGAGTGGTCGGATTAAAGGCATGTGCCACCACTGTCCAGCTAATACGCATACTTTTAAAAGCATTTTTCAGTTGGTAGTAACACAAATATGTCTGTTGTAACATGAGTTAGACTCTATGTCTCGCTATTGTCTGAGGCCTAAAAAGTCAATCGGTTGCTCCTGTTTTACTTCAGTCCTCTTCATTACCTTAATTTTAATAGTATTTTTAAAACTTTTTAATTTGAAACACACCTTGACCTGGAGGAAGAGCTTGAAAAAATGTTTAACCTTGCATTCATTTCTCCTAATAGTAACATGTTATATAAGTAAAATATTCCTGATTTGATGTTTACCTAATCTCTGTAAATGGCCTTCTTCCATCCAAGATTCTTTCCAGGTCCCCATGTTATACTTAGCTGTTAATTCTCTTTAGAATCTTCTGATTTTGATAGTCTCTGAGTCTTCATACTTCTTTTATGACCTAGACATATTTTTGGTTGTTTTTCAAGGAACGATTTCATCATGTAGTACAGGCTAGACTCAAGTTCATCATCCCCCTTCTTGGCTTCCTGAGTTCTAGAGTTATAGGAATGTCTACCCAATCTTGCTAGAGATCCTATTTTGGAAATGTACTGCCTACTTAGTCTGTAGAACACATATATTAAGTTTCACCAGAGTTATTTTAAATTATGTAGAACACATATTTCATAAGAGTATCACAAAAACAGTATTATGAGCTTCTCAGGAAATAAAACCAAGAGGGCTAATGATAATATTAATGTGATTATTCCCAATGATATATACCTTTATTGTCTGATTAAGCTAGCTTCAGAATTTTCCAATTTTTTCAGATTTAGTAGGTATTTAGTAGATATACTGGAAAGATACTTTAGTCCATCTACATTCTGTTCTTTCTTAATCTTTCTCCCACTAGTTTTAACACACATATGAGATTGTCTTCCAAATACATTACAGTAGTATTTTGTATAACTTTTTTTCTATGTTTATTAAATTAACCATCTTTTCTCTCATGTATGTTACTTTTTGAATAGTTTATTGATATCAATAAGGACTCAAACTTACTTTA